TATGTGCTTCATTGAGTGCTTACAAAATTACCTTTTGTTTTATACAAATGTCCTGCCAACAAAAGAACAAACCAGGGATGTCTAATGGATTTAGCAATATGGCACTCTTTATGTTTTCATCAGAAGAGATCGGATACTCAAATACAATTCTTTTCCAAGTAATGGTTTATGATAATGTGGTTTACAAACTGTTACACCCACGCAGCTTTTGAGGTAGAATCTTACATTTTTTTTCCTTAAAAGGAATGCCATGCTGTGCCATTGAGATGTAAAGACTTGAAAAATAGATTTGTTGGCCTCGTTTACATACAGAATGCTATTAGTCATAAATAAATAAACTTAAACCAGAATTGTTTGATTAACCAGTGAAATTATATATACACATTCTGGAAAATCTGATTAAGTTTAGTCTATGGTTGGTTCCTAACTAAGCAGGCACAGATCTCTGTAGGAATAACATTTAATGTAAGATCAAAACTGTTTTGCCAGTTCACCTAAATCCATTTTCAACTCGACTGAAATAAAAGTGGTGTATCTTCTGAACCTCTACTGCTTTCATCAAAATTGTTATAACTTAGGAAACTGAGTGAGTCTTTAACTAGAAGCAACAGCAAATCCAACTATAAACCATGTGTGCCTTATAGCTACAAATTAAGTGAACTGACAAAACAGCTTTCATAACAGTACTTTCAATCACAGTAAACTTGGATGTAACAATCAAAAGAGCGGCTGAACATGCATTAAAGGGACAACATACAGCTGTCACCATGAGAAGAGTGCTCTGAGACACCTTTTTTCCTTCTTTCATGTATCCTGGAGTACATAAAGTTCCTTGCTAATTTATATAGTGGATTGGTCTTCAAATGATGCATCATTTTCCTTTTCTGGAAAGCTGCCTTAGTCTCAAATAAGCCAGGAGCTGAATTTGGAGGAGCCAGAGTCTCACATGCATTTATAGTGAGGCACTAAGCAGTAAAGCAAAATATTCTGCACTTAAAAGGCAAGACATCTCAGGTGATTTCTAGCTGGCCTTTAAGACATTCAGATTGAAAAAACAGCTGCTGGAACCCCCCATTTTAAAGGCAGTTGTACTCTGGGACTGGTGCGAGGAACATGCATGTATCCCCTTCTCTCGTGTTTTTTCTTCAGGACTGTGTCTAACATAATGACCACACTGATAAGCTCCAGACCCCATGAATCATCAATGAAAAATGCTTTACGTGGCAGCTAGGAAGTCTGTCTAACTGGCTGGTTCTGCTACACCGCAAATTATCTTCCATCTTTCCAAGCGTGTTCAGGAGTTGGTCAGTGTGTAAGCACCCCAGTGCCATCTCAACATGCACGTGGAAGCAAATAATCAACAAAGACTTTTACTTCCAGCCCTTTCCCATTCCCATACATCCTTTGCAACACCTCTTACACAGAGAACCTCGCATAATTAACTCACTGGCAGCCCTCATCCTCCAAAACAGTTTCATTGTCCAACCCCCTGTACCTGGCAGGCATCCTCAGAAGCACCAAAGCAGCATGATTATGAGGACTAGACTGTCATTGCAGGTGATGATGAGTTGTTTGAAGCACAGCTTTGGTCTACTGGCAAGGCAAATGCGGATACCATGAACGGGCACTTCTTGGTTCTTGAGCTGGGCAGGTCCCTCTCCATCTCTAGATGATTTTCCTCAGTAGTGAAAGCAAAGAGAATTCCTGGTTTCCTCCCAGGATCTTGGGAGCAAGTAATTAGGACACAAGTAGGATACAGCAGTTTAAAAAAAAAAAAAAGAACAAAAAACAAACAACAAAGCCAAAACAGTACAATATAAGTTTCTTTTTCTCATCTTATTGCAGCCGAGTATTGCCCGGTTCCCTCTCTACCCCACTACGTACAACAATGCTGCTTTCTAAACCTGAAATACAACCAGTTTTCTCAAGAACACTGTTGTACTCTGGACAAATTGAGGAACAAATCTGGGCAACAAGCAACTTAAATGCTCCAATATTGAGGAACAAATCTGGGCAACAAGCAACTTAAATGCTCCAATCTTGTGGAAAAAAAAAGTAGTGCCTTTAGCCAACTCCTAAGAATTCACTAAATTCTTACATGAATGCACACACAGATGCAGAAAACCGCAAAGCTTGGGAGTGAGCACAGGATGAAGCAGTGCCTCAGAGTACGTTCTTCTGAGTGCTCCAGTACCTGTGTGCATCCTGCAAAGAGAGGCTTTAGATATCTCCTCAACGTGTTAGCAGTCAACTGGCTTAAATGCAATGCTACATGAAATATAGTTCCTTAGTTGGCATCTTCTCAGAGAAAAAGGTGGCTGTGGGAAAAGAAGGGAAGATGGGCAAGGAGGACTGTAACCACGTGCAAGTGACATGCAGCTGAGGTGTTGAAAAACACATATATCATACTAATCACTGTTTAGTCTTCTGTGCTTGACAAGTAGAACATCTGTGTTAGATAACGCAGGCCTGTGATGGACTCAGAGGCACCTGATGGAACATGCCCGAGATTCCTGCCCTGCTGTCAGAGAAGATCAAAGCACAGTGGTAAACGGCGCCTGCTGGGATCCCTGATACACAGGCGAGAACAGCAGGTTCAAAACACTCTCTAGTAAGGACTGAGCTCCGCGGTGCCTGTGTTCCTGCTTGCATGCCTCTGCCCAGGTGCTGCTTCGGAGATCCCCCCGTTTGTGAGGTATCGAGATTAAATTTACTTTTTGCATTTCAGCTGTGGTTCTGTGGTGGTTCCTGCGTGCTGCCTGTGTCACCTCACACATTAGGACTTGAACTTCAGTTTGAGATGCTGGTAAACAATGGTATAAACAAACAAAAAAAGATGGCATATTTTCTGTTCATAACTTTTATTATAAACACATAGATTAAATATTAACATAGGAAAAAGAAGACTTTACTAGTTAGGCCTTTAAAAGGCCAGGTGTCCTAAAACAGCCCAGAAAGTCCATTTTAGGCATTATCCACTGAGTTGGCAATCTCTGTGGAACCACTTCCATGGTAATCGAAGCCTCGAAAACACTGGGATATTCCCTGTCCTGTCTTTCAAGTAGAGCAGCATTCTGCATAGGAAACAGTTTGCACTTTTGTTTACTGCAGTTCAGCCACAATGAATAAAAAAGATCCATGTATTCAAGTAAAGATACTCCACGAATATCAGCTCGGTCCAGTTCCTTTTTTTGTGTTACCCAACAGGCCAGGCTCATCCCAAGGGTTGTAACTGGCTGGAAGTTAACACTGTCAGTCAAGATCCTCTGGGCCAACTGGGAGCTTTGCAAAGAGTGTTAAGAAGAGCTAAAACTGATGTTTGTTCTGTGAGTAACATGCAAAAACTTCTTCAGTTCATTTATAAAAACTGGTCAAAAAGCAGAACATGTAGAGCCTGGGGAAACGCTTTTGTTTTCCGATTTTCAAAATATTAAACTTCAACAAAAATCTGGATGGTTGAAGTTTTAAAAGTTTTAATGATCAGTGGATCAAAAAAAAATATCTAAGAGATCCCATTTTTTCTTGACCCTTACTCAAAGTCAAAAACGTTCAAATAAAGATGCTCCGAGCTCTACGCTTAAATACAACGTGCTTTCCTCTTCCAGTGTTTTCTCGGCTCCCCACTGCTCCTTTGCCTTCCAGCAGCAAGTGCTCTCACTGCCACTCTAGTTCATGTCAGACATTTGAATGGGTTCCAAGTTATAAAAAAGATACAATTATTCAGTGTCTATACGAACATATGTATTTGTACACTCCAGACAGCAAACAGTAGATGTGTAAGCAGTGGATTTAATGGAATATATATATCTCTTTTAAATCCAGTAGTTGAAGTAGTGCAGAAAAGTCTGTGCTTTTAGATGTATATATTATCAATTACATAGTTGGCTTTTTCCCACCTTAAAAATAACTGTGAATAAACCCTGAAAGTATGGGGACTAATAGAAAAATAATCTTAGGATTTTGTAGGAAAAATATAATTTGCAATAAATATATGGTAATTTCTTCTTGCTAGAAACAATTAACAAAAATATACTCCCACACATAATTTTTCAGCATCCTAGACATGTAACAAATACTTCTGCAGTAGTAGCCCATCTTTTAAACAAAGTCTGAGTCCCTTAATGTGCTACATTTTAATTAATATCAAAAAGCACTTATGTCAGTAAATATTTGCTTACGCCTTCGTACATGTTAGTCTGGCTTTTAGCAATGTAAGCAAATGCTAGAACGTTGTTGATTAGATAGGAAGTGGTTTATGTATAAGCATTCTATGTAAGAAAGTAATTTATCTAAAAATATTGGCTCTGATCCTAGGCAGGGCTGTTGCCTCTTTGGCATAATAAATGGAACTTATTCCATTGATTCCAAACACAATTCACCCGAACAGAGCAAGTCTGGAGGACCCCACTTGCAAAGATCACAGTTAGTCAGAGAAACTACTATCTTTCAGTCTCTCTGGTTAGAGAGAAGGATTGGGGAGAACCCAAGCTACAGCCATGTCAGGGTAGTGAACAACCCTTCATCAAAGATGGAGATGAGAAAAGCCTTCGGGTCCTGCCTTATTGTGTACTTCCCTTTACGCCTTCTCCTACTGCCACAGCTTTCCCACTTGCTCAGGCACACGTTTCTCTGATCAAATGGTGTCAACACGGGCGCCACCCCAGAGGCTCAGCAGTACCTGGGATCAAGCCACTGACCGGACTGATTCCCATGGACTTTGGAGTCTGCCAAAGACAAGACTGCAGATGAGGATGACAGCAGTGAGTAGTGATGACGATGCTGATTCAAGCTGCTTTCCGAAATTGGATTTCTGTGCTCTTATGGAGCCTGAAAGGGGCAAAAGTATATTTTTCAAGGTGGATTTTTTAAAATCAAATGAGCACTTTCCCCAGTTCCTAAGTCTTCCTCTTAATAATATTTAGCCAGTATTTCTCTTGGTGAAACTGAATTTTCCCAGTTACTGTGGAGGTGCGATGCAGTGGAGAACTTCTGAAGAACTTGTGTAGACAACATTTTTCTTTTTATTTATACTACTTTAAACAGCGTAGGAATATCTTTGTAGAAAAATCAGTCCTCAGTTTCATCTCCAGTCTTCAGGATGGACCAATGCTGTACCATTTAACAACAACTTTTTCAGGGTTGGCAATCGTATCTTTCCACTGCTCTACTGCTTCACTGTTGCTGCTATCAGAACTTATCCAGATCTGCAGTAAGAAACAAAAAGAAAAATGAAACTGAGTTTACCCGATAGAACACAGAGACCCGGCCTTTATTAGATCCAAATAAATACCATGGAAGCGTAGAACGAGATACAACGTGTAGACTGCGACCAAAGCATAACAGCAACAAATACAGTTCTGTTAAGACTAACATATTTTGGCTTTCAGCTGGGAACACAGGGAGTCTGCGTTTAAATTTAGCCTCTCAAATAGTTTAGAGAACTCACTACACGCTAACGTTTCTCTACTTAATAAGATGTTTTAAGTCAAGCATTCCTTGCTCCACTCAAATGCACGTGCTGGGGTCAAGGGCTCGTCAGGGCCAGTGATGGCTCTATGCATTCAAACTCCAGTTGGCTGCAAGCCGGCTAGCATGCCAAGCTACCTGTCCAGCCTGTTCATGAGCATTTAAAATTGCACACTCCAACAGACAGGGCCAAACCTGCATTCCACAGAAGTTACTAACGTGCCCGTACCACACATAGTCACGCAGTAAGCGTCCGTTTCTACTCAGTATTCAATTAATGGATAGTGGCCATTAAATGAGGAAACGAGGTACAAATAGGAAATTTTCCCCCTGAACATTATCACCAGCTTCCATTGCCAAAAGAATTCTGCTTATGTAAGTAGGTATCATTATTTACAGGACTCTATTTCCTCAAGTCTTCCAAGAATGAGTCTTTTTAAGACTTCTCAGAAACCTTCACCAGGAAGTACATTTAGCCTACACCGCTGAGGCATGAGTCCTCAAGAAGTGAGAATAATGTCTTGCAGAATACCACAGACAGCTGATGTTTCATCCACAGAGATTCAATATACATCTTGCTCATGATTAAAGACATGCCTGTAAAAGCAGCCTAATCTAAGTGTTGTCTGCTTAGAACAGCATCCAATTAAACATCATTCTCTGAAGAACAAAGTTAATAGATCCAGCTATATCCATCTTTTTCCAGCTACCCAGCCAATTGCTCAAAGTACATTTTTCCCTGAGCCATATTTTATGTCTTCATGTGTTATGTGGCAATGTCTGCCTGCATGAGCTCAAACAACCTTTTCCAAATAACCTCTGAGGAGCACAAGTACCTCATTTCCTCCCTCTAAAAATAAGATCCATGATTAAATGTAAATCATCAGATTGAGATGACCTCACATATTGCTAAGTGACTGCAAAATCATACCCAGTTATTTTCGCCCCAAGGTAGCACAACTAAAAAGAACATTTTTTTCTTCCAAATCCAATTCTACTAACAGGAATCACAGAAAGATGGAACATGTGTGACATGAGGCTCCAAAGAATGGAGGAACTTCACATAACTCTTGCTGGCACATCATTTTTGCAGCACATTAGCATCTCCTGTAGCTGCACGTCTTCAGCAGGCACAAGAAACATCACCAGAATGGGACGATGCCATTTTCTGTACCTAAGGGTAGCACAGTCCTTCACCTGATGAGGGACATTACAGTTGGGGTCTCCAAATCAATTTATATTATTCATTTATGCATATATTAAAATTCTGCTGCTAAATCTAGCTGGGTCAGGGAAAGCATAGAGAATTAAGAACAGTGATGGCTCACTATACCAAGAACAAAAGGAGAGAAAGAAGGGACGGGATGATGGTAAATTAGGACAACCAGGGGGAGAGGACAGAGAGAATAAAAAGAGACCAGACTACCAAGTTTTGCAGTGGTTAAATAAATACGATCACACAAATGCTTTCAAAGAGGTACTACTGAAGTTCCAGCTGCTACAAAAAGCCAGAGAGAGAAGAAAAGAGCACTCAACTGAAAAAATGATTTTGTGTTTGGTCACCTATGTTATCACTTGATCATACATATTTAGAATATTGTGCTGATTTCAGCATTGTTCCACCCAGGAAAGCAGTCTGATACTGTAGCTGTTGATACTTTCTTTTACACGCACCTGTTTGTAAGCGTATGGGTATGGTAAGCCAACACCCCCCTTTCTGTACAGTGCATTGTAGGCTGTGGATCTCCCCTGAGCGCTATGTTTGCTTTCTCTAGAAAGCCTAGAGGCGATCCTATGTCTGGCTGTAGGAAGGAATCTTTCACACAGCAATACCTCACACGAAAATGACTTAAAGATTTTGTTTTAAAACAAAAATCAAATGTCAACTCCCATTCTGATGGTAGTGTATGTTTAAAGAGCCCAGTACTATTCTTGCTTGGGTTACATCCCGAAGAATTTATTAGAATTTACTGTTTTTCTTATTTAAAGTATTTTAAAACTCATACCAAGAAACTTGTGGAACTGGATTTTAAGTAAAGGATATTGTGCTAGTTAGCAGAAACCAACCTGCCCTAGGAAGTGTTTTCTTCTCACTGAGCTTCTGCTGTAGAGCTTGATGAGAAAGCCAATTCCTTGTTCCGCTTGACTAACTGGAAAAATCATCATTTCTCCCCACTTCACTTGGCCATTAGTGGACTTCAGAAGACGAGTCTTCTTCTTATAGATCATCCCTTCGGTACTAACCATTCCAACTTTCACAAAGAAATCTAGCACAAAAGGGAGGGAAAAAGGCATAGCACACAAAGGGTTACTCCCAAACACACCCAAAAAGGAACTGACGAGATCCACATGTATGGTTCAAATTGCAACAATTTCCCAAAAGTCTGGCCAAAAGAACTGTACAATAGCTTTCCTGACTAGTCACACAGAATATATTCAATAATATTGAATTGATTAACACAGTATCCAAACAGCAAGTGCAAGCTAATGCTTTCGTATGTCAGGATTAATATTGGGATAAAAATCTTCCAAAATACATAAACACATAGCTTCAAACCAAACAAAAAGTAATCAAGTAAGACATCTGTGGAAACAAGCCTTGGCAATGGAAATCTACTGCACAATATGTTAGTCTGAGGTTTGTAAGGAATGTTCTGAATTGCCAACCCATTTGAGCAGCAATTTACCTGTTACAAATGCTTTTAGACAGGAGGCATGAGACAGCTGATGTAACTTACTTGAAGACAGCGGCGTAGATGAAACTGGAAGGTTTTGTGCTTCAAGAATCTGTAACTGAATCCTCCTGTTTACTGCTTGAAAACAAGTTCCTACTTGAAGCTCTGCATGGCACACCTACAAGCAGAAGAATGTTGCCATAACATCTGGATTAAGTTGCTTCTAAACTCAGGAAACACAGAAATTCTGTCATATGTTGGGCTCCCACATTTCTATCTGGGATTTCCTGGACAGAAATATAAGCATGTGTTGTATACACAACCTGCAGATGCACAGAAAGTAAGTGCGTCTTGCACTTGTCATAGCTGCAGTACATGTGCTCTGCTGAAGGACTGCTTATGTGCAGCACACATCTGGCCCTCGTGGGCTGCAGCCAGAAATACCGGGCAAATAAATGATTCCTTAGTTTTCACCTGGGAAAGATTCCTCAATGGTAGGAGCAGACACATACAGGGAAAACCAGACAGCAGCTGTAGCTCTACTAAACTTGGGTGTGGAGGTGAGAGACCAGGTATGCTCCACTAACACAAAAACCTTTGGAGTTCTCCTCCCACACTTTTGAATTTTGATATATGGAGATATAAGCAATGCTTTCCATAGACAAAAGGCCCCATAACTTCATGTCATGAATGTTTAGGGTGACTGAATGCTGTGGGGTTTCCTATGTTATGGAAGTACTTGTGTTTTACAGGCATACACACATACACCCCCCCACACACACACACTCTGAATGTACTGAGATCGCCAGTCTGAATTTTTATTTTAGAATTTTTTCTAGTGGCAAAGTTGTGTTGAGGCATACTCATTACTCCCCTGTCAGATGCTAACGTACTCTGGACGCTGTAGGAACAGCAGGAGAACGCTAGTGGAGTCCCAGCTTTCTTGACAACCTCCATTCAAAAGGACTCTGCTAGTCCTGGTTCCCTTCAAGTCCTAACGCATGTCAGTGAAGCAAAATGCACCAAGCAAGAGCGCCACAGGTCAGAGAAAGAGAAGTCAGGCTCCAGTTCCTCAAAGAGATCCAAATTCTCTTCACAGCTCAGCCACCAAATTTCTGTGTAACCCTGAGAGGAAGCCACTTATCGTCTCTGAGCTTTGGCTCTCTATTGGCAAGTAGGGTAGTTTGCTGCCTCACAGGATAGCGCAGGGATGAATTCCTGCAGTGTCTGGAGGGCTCTTGGATGTAATGGTGAGGAAAGCCAACACAGAGAGAGAGAAACTAGGAGATGATTCAGGAATTTACATTGGGATGAAGCAGTTTCTAAAACAGCTTCCTCTTTCACTTATTCTTACTGCTTTTGAAGCAACATGGTTATTCTTGTTAGATCTAAAAAATGTCAAGTGTAACATGTTAGAAATCAAGAGTATCACTTCTATTACTCAGACACACTTAGATAAAACTTGCCTTTGAATTGCTTATTCAGGTTTAATTTGCTGAAAATATAAATGTCTAGACACAATCTGTAAAAGAAACAAACAAAGCGAAGGTGTGGGGAAAGGAAATCCCACTGTGAAAACCACCTGCTTCTTCTTACACTAATGGAAATGAACTGTCTGAATTATTACTTCACAGCGTGCAATCTGAACGCTATATAGCTATCTCTGCAGTTTCAAGCCACTGAAGATCTTAGCACTTTTTTTCCGTAACAGAAGCAGATTCCATTTGGTCTGAGCTCTTGCTGCGAGTCCTAAGGATCTTCCAATGCTTTTTTGGTCGGAAAAGGCAATTACCCCGTGTTTTTGCTGAAAACTTCCCCGGAATGCCCCTCCCTCAAGCTGCAGGCCATGGTGTCGAAGAGCATGCTCTAGCTCTTTTCCCAGAAACAGTGGCAGCTTATGACTAGAACAGCTATGTGCAGAGTTCAAAAGTCTGCATTTTTTCCCCCCAAAGTGCCTTTCCCCAAGAAAGTGGAAAGAAAGAAAAAAAAAAAGAATCATAGAATGGTTTAGGTTGGAAAGGACCTTGAAGATCATTGAGCTCCAACCCCCCTGCCTTGTTTGTTGTTAGCATTGAATTAGCACTGAATTTATTTTACTTTCATTTCCAGCAACTCTTTCTAGGTGATATAACAACATACTTTTGCAATATTGGCACTTACAGGTGCTTTGGAAGGAGGAGATATATCCAGCCAATGACTTGACTCCTCTGAGCTGAGCTCCCGCAGTGCCAAGGAGCACTCTCCAATTGTTTTTTTCCTGGGAGTCTGCGTCTGGATTTTAAATACCAATCTGACAGCCTGCAGGCTTTGCAGTTTAATAGCAAATACAAAAGTTTCCATAAATTCAATGTCCTAGAAAGAAAAACAGAGAGGTAACATCACCATTGTAAGAAAGGCATACCAAGCCTGAAAGCTAGAAACCAAGGCTTCCTGGTCCTATTGCCCCCTTAATATTCCTTTACTGCCACGATCAGGAGTCTTGTCCCATGCAACCAATTCTTACTACTTTCTGTAGAGAGGAAATATGAACTTTGTCTGCTGCCCTAAGTTAGAGGCAGTACATCATCTACCTTCCCTGGGGTGAATGTGCACCTACAGGTATGCCCAGTCTTCCCCCAGTCCCCCACCACTGAGTTGCCAAGGCCAGCAGCTCATGGTTCAGTCCCCTGTGAGTGTATCTGTCCTGCAGATTTGGGAGAAAAAGAGGGCAACAGTCCAATGCAAGAGGGGACACGGGGAGGAAGTGGAACAAGGCTTTTAGTACGATTTTGAGAAGTCGAGGGGGGGAAAAACCCAAACCTAAGCAACTACCACAGCAAACATGGCATAGGAGCGAATGTTTGGCCCATTTTAAAAATCCATTTACATTTCATTTTTATTTTTTTGGGGAAATAGATTCCTTGGTGTTTTCCCTGCTTCTACTTACACTGCACCCTTCCTTGGCAGAAGATTTGAAATGCACTGGTTTGGGCAGCGTGAGAATTCCCTTTACGTGGATACGAGGATTTTCCCCACAGCTAGAAGGCCAGCTCAGGTCTTTGCACTGCAACATTGAAAACACAGTCAGTTTAGACAATATAAGACTCTGGCCTTTAGACAACTTAGAAACAGTCTCTTCTACACTGTTCTAGAATTATGCATAATTTCTGTGATATTGAATATAAATCAGAGCCAGTGTAATGACTGTGTCACTTCAGATCATTTAATAATTCATTTTCACAACCAGAGGGTAAAAAGTTATTTGGTAGATTTTAATGATTTCACTATGTGGCAATTTGACAACAGATAAATCATGAAATCCCTTACGTAGTTTTTATCACTTGATGTAGTTATGAGGTTTCTGACTACTCAAAGTTCCATTGCCTAAAAATTATTCACAGTTCCTGGAAGTGTACAAACCAGACAGCATAACAGTATCACATTTGCTAACAAAAAAAGCCACAAGAACCTACATGCCCTCAAAGTGCTATCATGGTTCTGCCCTGAAGGAACGGTTAGATTTAAAGGCAGTTAAACGCTGCCCTCAAAGCTGCTCCAATTTGCTGCCTCCAAATTTCCACAGGAAAATTTCCACAGCAGGACCAGCCTATGACCAGCTCGGCTTTCGTATCTATGCTGAACAGTTCCTCGTTCCAGAATCAGAACATGTGTATAGTAACAAAGAGTTACATACTACTTTTTATTATTGACTGCAGTAGAGATTGACAGAGATTGCAACGAGGGGAAAAAAGGAGAGGAAGATACTTTGAATGAAGCCCAGTACTACATTTGACTGAACTTTATTTATGTTAATACTTAGTAGCTTTCTTTTTCTCCCAAAAATATTCCTTAAAGTAAGAGAGCCAAATTTAATGAGAATTAACACAAGTATACAAGTATAGTAAACACAAGTTTACAAGTATAGTAAAATAGCCACTCGAGTAAATAATGGAGTTATTCGTATTTGCTTACATGTAAAACTGTGATCCAAATCTGTTCTACAGAAGAAACATAACACAACTTCACATTCAGTCTTCCAAAGTCTCGTTCATCACCTGATAATGTAATAGTATCTATGGAAAAAAGCCAATGAATGTTTTTAGAAGTAATGCAGTAACTTAAAAGTTCATTCCAAGAATAAGGGAACTCATTAGTTGGTGGACTGCCCACCTTTGAAAACTTGTCTCAAAATAAGTTTGAAATATCTTAACACCTACATTTTAAGTACAAAATATTCATGAAGTCCTGTAGCCTGACCTTCTGCATAACTAAAAGGCTTCACATTTACCTCAAGTTACCTCTACTGTACAACTTGTTTTGTACTCGGACAACTTATAGAAAGGAAAAACGCACGTGCCTGAGACACCCAGAACACATTTATAACCTATCACCTCCCTTAATCACTTTCACTGTTAAGTTTATAAATTGGCCTGCTTTTTATCTTTCTCAGGTTTCAGTTCCAGCATAATAAACATTTTACTATTATGCTCTTCTCCAAGTCAGAAGAGCCATTTAACATCCAGCGTTTGTCTTTCAAGACTGAAACCAGGTCATTGCTCCCCAGTCTTTTTTTTGAGGAGACTGGGTAAAATTCTGACTTCCAGCAGGGTGACTTGCGTGGGCACTTGATTCATTTTTGAGAGTTTATTTTGCAGTATCTCCACTTCTTCAGCATTCTTTCATAAATAAGGATACTAGATTTGTGTGCAATATTCCTGCCTAATTCTCAGTGTAATATGGGTATTGGATTCCAGGCACTTCCCACAGAAAAATACTGATTAATAAAGAAGGAGTACAGCTGTGACCGAGGTGCTGCATTCTGTCCTAACAGAACATCTGTAATTTCCTAGTTCACTGGGGTAGTAAATCCAGGGATGAATTTTTCAAAAGCATGAGAACTCCTCAAAGGCTCATTTTCTTAATCTCTTGACAACAGGAAAGCGCAAGTCCAAACCCCTTAATTTCAAATTGCAAAGTAAGCTCCAAAGTGACTTGCTAATATGATTATAATTAATATATAATTAAAAATAATGAAATCATCAACAGTAGAGACCGCTTAATGTTTCAGGTCCAAAGGGAAATTTCATTTCATTACAAGGTAAACAAACAAAACATTACCTAGACTCCTGTTACTGCCTTGTGAATCCTTCCTGGAAGAGGTACTGCTAGGTACACTGGAAAATGAATCATATCTCTGGGGGAAAAACAAAAGAAGTCACTTCATTCAGAGCAACAGATGCAAAAAGCCAGAGAGATTCTACCATCAGACAAGACATGATGAAAACAAAACAACATCCAATTTCAAATTATTGTCTTGTTCCCTACTAATCTCTTGATCCAGCAGCATGGAATTATTACTTTGACGCAAAGAGCTAATACAGGACATGTACGGCCAGTATGGATTCTTTTTCTTGCTGATATAAATGCAACTTCATTTCTATGTAAAAGATGATTATTTGGGGAAAAAACAAAAAAAGCAGTGGTTTTTAAATCAATGGAAACTTCTAGTGTTCCACTTTTCAACTGGTGAGAGAAACCACAAGATGATGAACCACACCCTCTTGTCTGTCTTGCCCTGCCTAACATAGAATCATGGAATGGTTTAGGTTGGAAAGGACCTTGAAGATCATCGAGCTCCAACCCCCTGCCATAGACAGGGCCACCTCCCACCAGACCAGGTTGCCCAAGGACACGTCCAGCCTGGCCTTAAACACCTTCAGGGATGGGGCCTCAACAACCTCTCTGGGCAACCTGTGCCAGTGCCTCACCACCCTTACAGTGAAAAACTTCTTCCTAATGTTTAATCTAAACCTGCCCTCTTCCAGTTTATAGCCATTCCCCCTCGTCCTATCACTACATGCCCTTGTAAAAAGTCCTTCCCCACCTCTCCTGCAGGCCCCCTTTAGGTACAGCCCACTCAGGTTTCTCAACAGTCCCACTGGGCCACAACAGCAGTAGCCAGAGAAGACATCAGGAAAGAGCCTCTTAAAGTTGGTCAAGATGTTGAACTTTTCCCTCTAGCCCTTCCCACACATAGTACAATGCCCTTTGGTGTTTACTTTGAAAACACAATGCAACAGGAACAGATCCACCAAGTAAGCTGAGTTTTCAGTAGAACCTAAGTTACAAGGGGAGCTCACCTTCATGAATCGGGGTGGGCTTCTGAGATCAAACATTGAACGGCTTACATCAAGTGATCCAGGCAACGCACTAGGTCTTAAATCACTAACTAAAAAGACAACGAGAACAATATAGATCATGTAAGCATCATTGCTAGAAAAAAAAAATTAAGAAGCTTTTTTTAAATTTCAGTAGACCTGTGGTAGAATTGAAACCTAGCTAAATAACATCTAAGGAAGGACATCAGCACCTTTCTCCACCTCCCTCCCTCAAAACACACCCCTGAAACAACAAAATGGATAGAACAAGCCGTTAAAATATCGTAATCAATTCCATCTTTGAAGTAGTTCAAACTTACTTGGTCACACTGGTAGCACTGGCAGAATGTGGAGCCTGCCTCAAAGTTATTTCCTCAAGAGAAATGGTTTTTTTTAGTAGATGCTTTAGAAATACAGAAAAGCCTTGTCTGTAAATCTAGTCAGCGAGAACTTGTCTCCTTTTTTACATTTACATACAAAGATCTCAGTGGCAAAAACATGCTGCCTGCTAAATGTGGCCTCATCTCTCTGGCTTTACTGATCACAATGTCAAAGCACCATACTCTGCACCCTTACTAGATCTCAGACAAAGTGAGTCGTAACTCTAAGATGACATGTCCTCGTTACAACACAAAAGCAAGATCTTTATTTTATAGAAGGGTATTTTTCTCAGCAGTTGGAGGTGGTTAAGTAGGCCCTATCAGTTTTCTTTTGACCTCAAAGCAATACAGAGCTAAAGCACATTGTCTATGCATATTATGAGCATCAGTAGAAAATGAGAGCTGAACTAATGCTACTGTTTCAGGAATCTTTGCTGACTCCAGTGATGTTCAAGAGGTTTTTAAAGCCTCCCAACTTCAAAACTGACCCATACTGAAATGAATGAAAGCAGTATGGTTTAACTTCTAGTACTATCTGATGCAACTAATTGCTTTTTGTTGCAATGCTGTGTTATGGTATTTCAGAAGACTTCCATGACAATTCACTGACCATAGCTTAATAGAATTACATCACTTATTACTGAAAATTTATTTCCCTTTTAATGCTATCAAAAGAAATAATCAATTATACTTATTGTGAGATGTGATAATAAAGAATAATTCTTTCTTTTCCCCAGGAAGAAAAAGAGAACAAGTTTTGACAACCCATGGGAGGGAAAGGAAAGTAACAACATCGTTTAGATAAAATTTAATGAAATGATGTATGTCTGGCATGAGTTCCAAATTCTCTCTTGTGCATGACACAAAAGGGCCAAGTTTTTCACTGAATCGGGTGTAGAAATAGCATTATAATATCATACGAGACCTAGAAACCTTGTTTGATATGAGAGCAAATAGGAGAGACCAGCTCGTTATTTCATTTGAAACTGATTATGGTTATGGAAATTAATTCTATATTCACTACTCATGACTTTCACAAACTACTGGGAAACATCCACTTGAGCCTACAGGTTACAAATCACCGAAACCCTTTAAAAACAGTATGATCTGCTGTTTCTAGTAAAGCTCGTTAAAGTTTTCAAAGAACATGGGCAGAAAAGATGTGCCTTTTTAAAAAACTTAAATTTTTAATGGAAAAAAATGACTATTCTTACACTGAGAAAGCTGTGTGTAAAATATAAAAACGGAAAAACCAATTTAACCATAAACATATGTTGTTTACCAGTAATAACTAGAATTTTAGAAAAATATTAATGAATTTATTTTTCAGTTTGTTTGTTGTTGGGTTGTGGGGTTTTTTTTTAAATGAAGAGGAGGGACTTCACATGAAAATTCATGAATTTCATTTCATACCTTCCAAATAAACACATTCTGTTGCTCTTAGCCCACACACGTGAAAAGTATCATAGCACTTGCTGCAATAAAAAAGTGTTAGAGTTTTGCTTAGATAGTCTATAGATGCACATGGAAGAGAATCATCTAGCTTTTTAAACAGCTGTCAAAAAAACTCTGGAGGAAGAAGGCATTTTAAGTGTGTCTAGAGTAGACTTCTAAGTGACCTTTCTTGTGTTTAAGCTTACTAAGACAAAACTAGTGAAGTGTTTACTTAGCTTGAAGAAAAATGGAAAAAGAGATGATGAACTGAAGGGAAGATCTTCACGATAGTTTTATAAAATCCATTTGGCTCCCACCACAGGTGCTTACAAAGCCTAGCAAAACCATATGCCTTAAAGGCTGCTAAAATTCTAAGTTTGTTTTGTTCTCTTAAAAAAAATACATGGAGTAGTCTTTTCATGTAGTCTCTATGGTGATTTGGAATTATTTTTAAAACAGGACAGTCTGAGACATTTCCCCCAGCTGTAAAATAAGCATGCTATACCACTCTAAATAAAACATCTTTAAAAATGCATGCTGTTGCCAGCTTCTGGTTCGATAGAGAGATGTGTCCATTTCTTCAAATGCATGAGTTTTCTGAATGCGTTTGCCTTAGCAATCGCTTACAGCGAGCAACACTTAGTCATATACTTTACTCTAAACAGCATTCATTATAGGATACATATACCAATGAAGGGCACAGAAGAAAATATTTATGTAGGTAGCCAAACACTTTCTATCTAAACTTTTACTATCTCACAGCCCTTCCCCGTTCTTAAAAACACTTACACAATGAGAAGTAGGGACATTTCTGCATCTTCAAAAGCAAACTACAAAAAAAAGCTGGCACGTAGCATCACTTCCCTGTTCTTATCATCTGTTCCTGAATGTTTTTTGGTGCTCGTTCCTCTCCCCATATAGATACTCCTCAGGCATTCCTCCACGCAACATACTGCCTGACCTCCTTTTTCTGTCTCCCTCGCTCCTGTTACTGGCAGCTGGACTCTCCAGTACTGCATTCTGGTTTGGATCAGAGGCAGCAACACTAGCTTGCTTTGCCAGTTTGTCTACCTTCGTGTGATGCGTGCAAGCCTTGTTAAGCCCCCAAAAGACAGAAGGTAACAGTGCAGCTGCACATCAAGCAGAGCTGGCTCCACAGATCAATCTACCAACCAAGAAGTGTCTGTAGCATAAACACGAGTTTGGGAACTGCTATAATCAAACACATCTTCTGTAAAATAACGGCTTTTTTTCTCTTACCTATAAGCCTTGGGAAAGGAAGGAAGACAGAAAAGTAAGGATGTGGTCCTTCTCACCTGATCCATATAATTTCCTATTATCTGATTTTGTTTGGAAGCGCCTAATCAGATCTGGCGAAACTCGATGCTCCAAATAGAATGGGTTGTACACGTCATAGCGGGGCCATTGGTACACGCCGTGCAGTTCTGCTTTCCGGTCACCGAATGAGGCTCTGGCAGATTCTGCAGAGCACAAGTAAACATCAAATACAAGAGTTCCAGACATAACACATGCTGCCTGGCTTCATAAGGCAGGCAGAGTGCCTTCAGGGCAAAGGACAAAATATTTCAACATTATCTGCTTCAGGAAAAGGGAAAAAAAAAAAAAGCAAAAGTAAAGAAAACACACATACACATTATGTCAGATTTCCACAGTGTGCTAGCAAACACTGGAATTAAATTGGCCATAAGAAGCTACGCATAACCTGTCTTGGAGTTCCACAATAAGTGCCTAACTAGTTAAAATACAGAAGGCTCCAAAGACAGACAGCAAGACAGACATTAACAGGAAAAGTAGGGCCATATGTACAGAAAACCTCTGACTTATTTGGCTACCTACCCCCAAGACATTCTCACTCGGCTAACAGACCCCCAGCCCTTCAGGAGGGTTTTGTTTGAAAAGTAAGGCAACTTGTGCCTGCAGCCTCCTTGTCATCCAGTTTCCTTAGGAAGTCTGTCAATGCTAAAATCAGTGGTCCAAAATGACTTGAATTGTTGGCTGAAGCACAAGTAGACAGATCTGAGAATGCTTGAATCCCAGCCCTTTACTCAGCCCATTACAGCACAGCTGCCCTATTTTTCTTTCCCTTATTCATAATAATTTCAGAAAAAACATGCATGTCTTGGTCAGCAGAACAGTAAAGAACACTGCTGTATTGCTTCATTTTGTCTGTCTGGAGTGAAAATAAGTCATACGTAACAGTACAGTAGAGAATGGGGATGGGGTGACCTGGACTCTGCCAAGCTCTGACATTTGCTTACTTCACTTTACCTCCCTGGATGTCAACCTATCTGTTAAAAAAGTTCATTACCCCATTATAAAGTGCCCTCAATTCTGCAAGTGTGTCACACCAGAAGAAGCAAACTATTATTGCTGTAAAATCCTTTCTTCCAAGTGTTAGTAGAGTAAGTAAAAAAGAATAACTGAAACAGAGAGATGGAACACGAGGGATGATAGAGCAAGAATTCAAGTAAAACGGGCTTGAGCATGACGTAAATTAGGATGAACACTTGAAGTGAGGCCGTAACGAACTGATACACAGCAGATGACGGAAAGCCAGTGTTCCAGACCAGGAGCGCACTTCTTCCTGCTAGCTTACTTCTGTGAGAGCATGAGACACGCTGCAGTGAGACTGAAGAGAAAGGCTGCCAGAACTTAATTGCTTTCAGAAGGGATGCCAAGAGCTAACACTGAGCACGTCCTGTTTCACTAAAGGAAAACGGTCAGACATGCACAGAAAATGGAGTGGAACTGAGAGCAGAACTTGGACTTCTACAGATATTTAACAACGGTCTAGGAAGCAAATACTCTAGATGCATTTTTTTGAATATGCTGGTGCTTTGGCTAATGTGAAGAAGGCATGACAGCACACTTCACTGTATTTATGTAGGGAGATGTAAATCTCCCTAAAAAGTAAACTTTGCATTTTTAAACACAACTTTAATGCGGCTTAAAAAGCTGTATTTTAAAAAAAAAATAAGTATTTATATTTGGAAAGAGAAATGGAAGTCATCTACTTAACATAAGAGCCACTTTTCAAATATTTGTTCAAGAATTTAAAATATTTGCTCAAGAGAGACAATTATGAAGAGTCAGATCATCCTGCCAGAAGATCTACTGGCTTTATAGCCTAAGGGCCACTCTGTTCACCAGGTCCTTCAGAAATGCTGATGAAGCAGAATTCCCAACGAAAAGAAGTCACTGGTTTATAAGTCACTGACTGATAAGACTGTGTAGAACCACATGAACACAGAAAACATTTATCAAAAGTTTGTTAGTCACATTTTCCTTCTCTGTTGAGAACATTTGTGCCTCAGAGTCCTTGATGGATGTCTCTGTATAGGGTCTTGAGGATGAGATAGGATAAAGCAAGCCAGAGCCTGAGGCCAGACCCAGTGAGAAAGGGAATTAGCAGGAGCATGTCTTGCATTTCCGTACCTTGTTCAAGTATGGACTTACAGGAACTAGTTACTGAACTAGCAGGGAAGGGCGGACGCTAAAGGAGATGAGCCTCAGAGATGAGGAGGAGCTCACATGTTCTATCTCCAACTATTAGGTTGCCAGTCCACGTCTGGTGAGGCAAACATCACAAGTATAGTCCACTAAAAAGATCAGGCACAGAATGGCCAATCTATACCGAAAAACTCTGCTAGGCTGATCAGCTTGGCTCTAGTGCCAGTGTTACTAGCAGGAGCTGGTGAGGAGGAAGTTTGGTAACAGGCACGCAGGAGGAGAAAAGAAACAACAGCAAGGACCGGGGGAGAAGAGAGAAGGGTGGGAGTAAAACCACACAAACACAAAAAGGTTAGGTTGTTCTGCATTAGTTATTATGCAACACGTGGTTGACTTTTTTCCGTTATTCGGGTTTCCACCCTCAGAAAAGAAATACAGTCACATGGGACTAAAACCATATTATCAGCTAATCCCATCCTCGAAGCAAAGCAACTCTAGAGAAAACAATCATTCAGATATGCACCTGTGCCAGAATCTTCCCTTACCTAATTCTAGGCATCTGTTGGCAGGACCAAGAGCCTAGCCATAGCATATGCCCTGTAACTCATGTTACTGGGCCAGGCTCCTATTCTTTTAAAATGCCACTGTGCCTAAATTGCATGTAGATGATTTTCGCAGTCTGAGAATGGGACTAACTGGCAGAGGTTGAAGCACAAGACTGTTGTGAAGCAAAGAAACATAGTTTCACGTGCAACCTTATACCACTGAGACCTGTGACCCCCAGCCTCCCAAAGAGCAGGAAACAGTAGGGGAAAAAATTCTGCCATGTAGTAGCACATGCTATCTATTGGCAAAATTTGAAAAGGAAGATGTGTTAGTATGTTAAAACATATCAGTACATTAAACGTGAAAGCCAGACCACCCTCCTTCTTTATTTGAGTGATGGGGCCGCTGGGGATGTGTTAGGTCTTTCCTTGCCTCCAATAAATTCTTTACTAAAGCTCCCATTTCCTTTAAGTGTCTTCCATTACTTTGAGTATGAGCACTGGTGTGCAATCCTCCCTTTCAGTTTTATTCATGCAACATCACAGAGATTCATAGTGGGATGACATCCTTCCCAAAACTTCTCTGAATGAAAAGAGACAAGACCAGGCTTCTAGAAAAGTTCTGCAAACATATGTTTTCAGTAGGAATACTTGACAACTTTCAAGGAGTAGCAGAAACTAAACAACCATTTCAGCAATGCCGTTGATGTTTTACCTTGAATTCCCCCAGCATGTGAGATACTAGGAAGGTTCTTTGGCTGTACATAAGCCAATTTGAATGGAGGGACCACAAATGGTACCTCCTGACCATCCAGGGGCAGTTTAGAAAGCAGATAATCCTCTGAACAGCCAACTTGACGCTTCACTGACACAGAAGACAATGGAGGCTTCTCTACAATAGTCGGCTTGCTTGCGGCTACTGCTTCAGATTCCTGCACCATGGAAACTGCTAAAAATAAAGAGCAAGAAAAACAGACAGTCCATATGTGCATTAAGTTTTGAACAATACTATGAACAGCTCTCTTTCATTTAAGAGGATCTGTGCTTGATACATTACGTAACGGCTGCTAGTATTCAGTTTTACCACTATTCAGGACTAGCACCTGGAAAAGACATTCATCCTCATGACACCTGTACTGATCCAAACTCTTTGTTGCCCAAGCTTCTATATTTGTAGCTACCTTGCTCTTAACTGAATTTTTACAAGACATACACTTGTATCACAGAAGACTTCTTCAAACTAAGACACCAAAGAAAATCCTAACAGCAAATCCACAGGGAGTTTAAAAAAAAATAATAAAAAGGTGTTGACTCTTAGAGTTTAAAAGAGACAAGACCTTTACACAACCTTGGGTAAAAAAGTTGGCTTTTTTGGACAGCATTCCAGGCTGCAGGGAGCAGACTTCAGACAAGTGTTATTTTTCAGTTCCAATTCATAACACGAACAAGCATGTGTTCAATCTCCAAGTGGAGGTATGGAAAGAATTTTGGATGTTGTAAAAGAATTCAAGTTTATCAGGGGTGACATAGTCATTTTATTAATGGGAAATATCATTAATGAAGCCAGAACAGCAAAACCCTTAGTCAATGTCATTATGTCAGAACTCACGATCATTTTTTTCTTTTTCCACGCAGAAACACCATTTACAGCAGTTTTTTATACATTCTGTTGCCATTATTTTCAGTGCTGCAATTTAGAGGACACCACAATCCAGTGTAGCTATCAAACCTGAAAAACACAATAAAACAAACTGTATTAGATGGGAATAATTGCAATCAAAATGCAGTACTATCAGTTATTTAAGACATGATTGCTTATTGGACACAGTCCCAGGGTCAATGAGAAAGTTACTTCCATCATAAAAGAATGAGAGCCACCAGATTTCTCTCACTGAGACAAATTATTTTTTACATAAAAGCACAGGAAAAAAGAAAATCATTTTAACGTACAGCATCCAAGTGCTTTCAGTGACCCACACAGACAGGTCCCTGTCTTTCAGGAACACTAAAATTCTCCTCATATTTGTGCATGCCACTGGGCTTTGGAGTTTACTCAGCTTTACAGCTGTTTTGATGTGGTCTTGTCAAGTCATTTGCAAGATGTTTTTTATTCCATTTCCCTTGTTCATGTTTCTCCTATCCTCTTTCACTCATGTACTATTTTCACATATATCCATACGTGTTTACATTTTTCACTCAACATACTCCATACTCTGCATTTGAAAACACTCTTTATGAATGATGCCAAAATTGCCTTCTTTGAGGAGCTACTGCTTTCTCATAATTGTATACACATGAAACTAAAGACCTGTTTTATTATATAATTGTCTGCTATGCATACAGAAATAGAGCACGCTGACTTCCAGCGAAGTAAGAGGCATGTAATCTACTAAAGAATGAGAACAAGCCTATAACAGCTGGTTAACATTAGAAGAACTTTATGACAATACTAACTGGCCTCATTTAAATGTCTTGATTCATATCCTTATGTTCTTTGTTCAGAGGGACACAGACAGCTGCATTGCCTCCTGTCCAAAACTTTGGCTGTCTAACTCTAGTCCTTTTACATGTACCTAAAGTACAAAAGGTTCTTTGTACAACATACCCAGGACATGATTCCAACTCCGCGGAGGTTAGAAGACACCAAAGAGAACATGAACATAAGCTGAAGGGATGGGGAAGACAACAAGTAAGAGAAAGGGGGAATGCACAGAGAGAAGATGACAGTTACACAAAAATGGACATGTTTGCTCAGTTATTTCCATCACAGGAAATTGCTGAAAGTTTCCGTGCTCCAGCACAGAAGCCATTTCCACCTGCAGCTTGAATACTGCCATCATTTTCTTTGTATGTGTATTCAAAGGCAGTTAGGGAACCACTCAAACACTTTGGAAATAACACTAATATTCCCAAAACTTTTCTTTCATTAAAAGCCCCTCAAAATTGTGAAGGATACCACGTGGTGATATTAAGCTACAGATACTTCATCTAACTTAGAAAACATGTGCTTTCTGGGTGTTAAAATTATTTATTTCCACGGGTAGGGTCCATCTGAAATTTATTAATAGATGTATCAATTTGCAAATACTGACCAAACACAGCATATACTTACTGACCTGCTATTTTGCGCTCTACAGAACCTCAGCACTGCTATTTACGTTTTCACTTACGGGTTTTGCAAAGTCACTGGGAGCATGTGTGTTCATGAGGAAGCCTTGAATTAACTTGCTATCTTTAAAATACTAGTTTGAAATATAATGAAGTTTTATTATTACAACTACATAACTGTTCCAGAATTATTCTTAATCATGAGCTATCACAAAGTACTGATTAGAAGGAAATTCTTAAAATATATTCCCATTAGACCTAAACCTAACTAAACCATTATTCTACAGCAACAAAGACCTAAGGGAATATTTGTTTTAATAAAATTTCTCTGAATAATTTTTGCTGGTTTTACGACTAAGTGACATTAATTATTTCCTCTAGTTTTATACTGCTCTTTGTGCTCAATAGACCAAAATTAACCAAACGCAAGTGACCCGAATATAAAAACCTCAGAAGTAGCCTGAATACTGGTACATGTTATTCTGGAAAACAGAATGCTACTGAAGAGATTACAGCATAGTCTCTAACCAGACAGGGCAGGGGCGCAATATCTTGCTTTAAAAGGGACACCATTACTCTTCACAGAATCCATCACTCAGTACTTATCAGGGAGTGTAGTGGTAAGGAGACGGGTAATGGTTTTAAACTGAGAGAGGGGAGATTTAAATTAGATATTAGGAAGAAAGTCTTTACTGTGAGGGTGGTGAGCCCCTCGCCCAGGTTGCCCAGAGAAGCTGTGGCTGCCCCATCCCTGGAGGTGTTCAAGGCTGGGTTGGACGGGGCTTGGAGCAACCTGGGCTGGTGGGAGGTGTCCCTGCCCAGGGCAGGGGGGTGGAACTGAATGATCTTTAAGGTCCTTTCCAACTCTAACCATTCTATGATTCTATGATACTTGCCCTGAACTCAAAATTGCCCATGAGTGTAAGTACAGTAGGAGAGCTGCTGCGAAAATCTTCAGAGGCGATGCCACTGACTCCAGAACCTGCTCTGCGCCTTTACAGCAGCACAAAACAAGGCACAGAAATTTCTTATTAAATTCTCCATGTTTCAAAGGTTCAAATTTTCACCGCTGCTCCTCCCTCAGAGGCGCACTCACCCTAGCTAAGCCTGCTAGAATTCAAAGTTTACTTTAAGGTTCCCTTGCAGTGATTTCCTTCCCAGCTGTTATCAGTACACAGCTGGAGTTAATATGCTTTACTCTTGTTCTCCATGTTTAAACTAGGCTGAAACAGCTGCGTCGTTTGCTCTAAGCTTTGCAACAATGGTATCTAAGCCTCAGTGGCAGTTTTTGCAGGCAAAACAGTCTTTTATCTCAAAATGTCCAGATTGAATTTATTCGCTGCTCCCGGTGAAGAAACCAAAATGTTAGTAACTGCCCTGCTTTCCAGCTACATAAAGGGGAAAAAATAGTTTTTCTGCATCAGAGAAAATTCAGTTCATGGTGGTAATTTCTTTCCCCAGAATTGTTTAGCTGGAACCATTAATGTGAGCAAGTAAACAAATGTAAATCACTTGTCACAAGCAGTTGCCTTTCCATCATGGGGTTGAGTGTCTTACCTAGAAAGAAGGGGCTACAAATGGATATTGAGGATATAAGCATAATAATGCAATTCCACATCTTTTGCACTATCATTAAAAAAAGACCATGTTTTTCACAGTGAGACCAGGTATCCTGTGATAGTCTGTGACCCTTATCTTTTTTTCTCCCCATTTATCAATATGCAAACATTCACACATTTTTTTCTATCTGAAGACAAATATAAAGCAATTCATCACTGTCTATTGTACAGAAGAGAGTACGGTATTTACAAATCTTTTTTGTAGACCAGGTAGTATCAGTAAGCCAATGCCAAAGTATATAGACACATAGCTTAGAGTTTCCAATTCAGTTTGAGCTTAAATACAGCATTTTCAAAGAAAGTTCCAAGAGTTAGAGACTAGAACACTGTTTGCACTTTTTTTAAGCTTAAAAACGTAATGGTTTCAGTGACAAAATTTGCACTTGTGTTCCTAGACTTATACCACAGCCACGTTACAAAAAAATGACAGCATTTGCTGAGGGACAGGTAATCTGGATACAGTGCTCCCTCATTCTGCTTACAGGACTTTGCTTTGTTCGTGAAATCACAACATGGATGGTCTCAATTAATTTTTAAAGTTTTAATTCACTTACTTAAGCTACAGAGATAAGTATATTTGGTTTTTTTGTTTTAGTTCAGAAGAGCAATCCTGGCAGTAAATTAGATGGCTTGGGTCGCAGTTCATTTATTTTCTCAGATCTGTATTTCCCAAGTTGCCTACAGTTTTTGCCGCATGCAAAAGTTTTGTCTTAACCATGTGGGACAGAGAGAAATTTAGCAGGTTCTGTTGCATATTTTATTAACTGTAAATGAACAAAAATCTTGTAGACAATTAAACAAGTATTTAATGATCTTGACAGAAGCTGACATTTCTATCGAAGGTTAAAATTCTCTCACATGCCAGAACCTTTTGCTGTTGTCAGCTACCCAAAAATCCTCAGTATATCATTTAACAGTTGTTAAAAGGTTGTACTGACATGCATTTCTCTGGGAATAAATTTACCAAATAAACCTGAACCATAGAGACATTTGTTAGGTGCACCACCAATTTCCAAATAAGTACTGACTTCCCAGCAATGCCATCCATCTCAACAAAAAGTTCGGACTCCTTGACCCTACCTCTAAGTTTTGTGGTCAGTTTTTGTTAGGCAATACATCAAAGACATCCTTCATTTTGGAGATATTAGACTGAGCAAAGGACAGGAGGAAAAGGAGAATTATCCCTAATTTTCAGACAAAACTCCGAGATAGAGAAATCAAATCACTTGCAGCGGAAGAAGGAACTGAACCCAAATCTTCTCACTCGGTCTCAAATTCTCTCTCTCTTGGTCCTTTCCACCAATTTCAGTAAGCTTTTTCATTTTTCTCTTCCCAGTATCAAGCCAAAATAAGATAATAAAATGTAACGCAGCAATAGTCCTTCCACATTAAGGCAGAAGGAGAGCCAAGGTTATTAGAACATCCTGGAAACAAAGTTTAAAAACCAACCGCACACATACACAGAGCCTAGAGAATTACAATCACTACTATTTTAATGGCTTTAGATGGAGAACATAAATTATCTTAATGATTTCCAGATTTCTCCAACAGAAATTTTGAATGAGCTAAAATCAGATAAACAGAGTATCAAAGACTTCAGTTCCAGATGCCTCCAGAATGATTACAAGACAGAGATGTTTGGAGAAGAAAGTAAATATTTTCAACAACTCATTAAATAAAAAGAACATGATAGAAAACGGATGATCGCAATATTAAATATTAAAAGCTGAAAGCGGTCTGAAAAGAAATGTCAGGTCTTTGCTGCCTTATGATGTATTTTGCAAAAAGTTTTAGGCTGCTGATGTATTTTAGTGCAGTTAGTCACAGCACTGCTCCATAGGAGTTGATCAGGTAACACACTTAAAACTATGCAATAGACACAAAGGTGAAATAGCTGATCTCAAACTGGGAAAGCTGGCTAAACCAGAGCTTTCAAACATTATGAATTT